GGTGGGGGACTGTGGCGGTTGCTGTGTGACGATGGCGGTTGCCGTGTGACGATGGCGGTTGCCGTGTGACGATGGCGGTTGCCGTGTGACGATGGCGGTTGCCGTGTGATGATGGCGGTGGTCATGTGACGATGGCAGTGGTCGTGTGACGATGGCGGGGGTCGTATGACGGTTGCTGTGTGATGATGGTGGCGGTCACGTGACGATGGAAGCTGACACTCTGCGCTCCCTCCCCCAGGCTGTGCTGTATCGCTCCGGTCCTCGCGGTGAAGGTGATCCCCGGGGTGGAGGTGACGGTGGGACAGGAGGAAGATCGCGGAGGAAAATGGCCGCATTGTGGAACCTCCAAAGCCATCCAAGCCATGGGAGGAAAGCACCGCGCCAGGGAGGTGCACATATCCTTCTGTGATTGGGCCCCATCCAGGGGGAGGGGGAGGTTCCCAGAGCTCAGGGAAAGGGCCAATATATATAATGTGTCTCAGAGATCAGGACACACGGTGAGGTCGTTGTAGTGTTGCTCGGCAACCACTGGGGGCCGCTCGGAGGTCAGGACACACGGCGAGGTCGTTGTAGTGTGGCTCGGCAACCACTGGGGGCCGCTCGGAGGTCAGGACACACGGCGAGGTCGTTGTAGTGTGGCTCGGCAACCACTGGGGGCCGCTCGGAGGTCAGGACACACGGCGAGGTCGTTGTAGTGTGGCTCGGCAACCACTGGGGGCCGCTCGGAGGTCAGGACACACGGCGAGGTCGTTGTAGTGTGGCTCGGCAACCACTGGGGGCCGCTCGGAGGTCAGGACACACGGCGAGGTCGTTGTAGTGTGGCTCGGCAACCACTGGGGGCCGCTCGGAGGTCAGGACACACGGCGAGGTCGTTGTAGTGTGGCTCGGCAACCACTGGGGGCCGCTCGGAGGTCAGGACACACGGCGAGGTCGTTGTAGTGTGGCTCGGCAACCACTGGGGGCCGCTCGGAGGTCAGGACACACGGCGAGGTCGTTGTAGTGTGGCTCGGCAACCACTGGGGGCCGCTCGGAGGTCAGGACACACGGCGAGGTCGTTGTAGTGTGGCTCGGCAACCACTGGGGGCCGCTCGGAGGTCAGGACACACGGCGAGGTCGTTGTAGTGTGGCTCGGCAACCACTGGGGGCCGCTCGGAGGTCAGGACACACGGCGAGGTCGTTGTAGTGTGGCTCGGCAACCACTGGGGGCCGCTCGGAGGTCAGGACACACGGCGAGGTCGTTGTAGTGTGGCTCGGCAACCACTGGGGGCCGCTCGGAGGTCAGGACACACGGCGAGGTCGTTGTAGTGTGGCTCGGCAACCACTGGGGGCCGCTCGGAGGTCAGGACACACGGCGAGGTCGTTGTAGTGTGGCTCGGCAACCACTGGGGGCCGCTCGGAGGTCAGGACACACGGCGAGGTCGTTGTAGTGTGGCTCGGCAACCACTGGGGGCCGCTCGGAGGTCAGGACACACGGCGAGGTCGTTGTAGTGTGGCTCGGCAACCACTGGGGGCCGCTCGGAGGTCAGGACACACGGCGAGGTCGTTGTAGTGTGGCTCGGCAACCACTGGGGGCCGCTCGGAGGTCAGGACACACGGCGAGGTCGTTGTAGTGTGGCTCGGCAACCACTGGGGGCCGCTCGGAGGTCAGGACACACGGCGAGGTCGTTGTAGTGTGGCTCGGCAACCACTGGGGGCCGCTCGGAGGTCAGGACACACGGCGAGGTCGTTGTAGTGTGGCTCGGCAACCACTGGGGGCCGCTCGGAGGTCAGGACACACGGCGAGGTCGTTGTAGTGTGGCTCGGCAACCACTGGGGGCCGCTCGGAGGTCAGGACACACGGCGAGGTCGTTGTAGTGTGGCTCGGCAACCACTGGGGGCCGCTCGGAGGTCAGGACACACGGCGAGGTCGTTGTAGTGTGGCTCGGCAACCACTGGGGGCCGCTCGGAGGTCAGGACACACGGCGAGGTCGTTGTAGTGTGGCTCGGCAACCACTGGGGGCCGCTCGGAGGTCAGGACACACGGCGAGGTCGTTGTAGTGTGGCTCGGCAACCACTGGGGGCCGCTCGGAGGTCAGGACACACGGCGAGGTCGTTGTAGTGTGGCTCGGCAACCACTGGGGGCCGCTCGGAGGTCAGGACACACGGCGAGGTCGTTGTAGTGTGGCTCGGCAACCACTGGGGGCCGCTCGGAGGTCAGGACACACGCTGAGGTTATTGTAGTATTGCTCGGCAACCACTGGGGGGCGCTCGGAGGTCAGGACACACGCTGAGGTTATTGTAGTGTTGCTCGGCAACCACTGGGGGGCGCTCGGAGGTCAGGACACACGCTGAGGTTATTGTAGTGTTGCTCGGCAACCACTGGGGGGCGCTCGGAGGTCAGGACACACGCTGAGGTTATTGTAGTGTTGCTCGGCAACCACTGGGGGGCGCTCGGAGGTCAGGACACACGCTGAGGTTATTGTAGTGTTGCTCGGCAACCACTGGGGGGCGCTCGGAGGTCAGGACACACGCTGAGGTTATTGTAGTGTTGCTCGGCAACCACTGGGGGGCGCTCGGAGGTCAGGACACACGCTGAGGTTATTGTAGTGTTGCTCGGCAACCACTGGGGGGCGCTCGGAGGTCAGGACACACGCTGAGGTTATTGTAGTGTTGCTCGGCAACCACTGGGGGGCGCTCGGAGGTCAGGACACACGCTGAGGTTATTGTAGTGTTGCTCGGCAACCACTGGGGGGCGCTCGGAGGTCAGGACACACGCTGAGGTTATTGTAGTGTTGCTCGGCAACCACTGGGGGGCGCTCGGAGGTCAGGACACACGCTGAGGTTATTGTAGTGTTGCTCGGCAACCACTGGGGGGCGCTCGGAGGTCAGGACACACGCTGAGGTTATTGTAGTGTTGCTCGGCAACCACTGGGGGGCGCTCGGAGGTCAGGACACACGCTGAGGTTATTGTAGTGTTGCTCGGCAACCACTGGGGGGCGCTCGGAGGTCAGGACACACGCTGAGGTTATTGTAGTGTTGCTCGGCAACCACTGGGGGGCGCTCGGAGGTCAGGACACACGCTGAGGTTATTGTAGTGTTGCTCGGCAACCACTGGGGGGCGCTCGGAGGTCAGGACACACGCTGAGGTTATTGTAGTGTTGCTCGGCAACCACTGGGGGGCGCTCGGAGGTCAGGACACACGCTGAGGTTGTTGTAGTGTTGCTCGGCAACCACTGGGGGGCACTCGGAGGTCAGAACACGCGGTGAGTCCAGAGGGTGTCATAGGAACGTTTTATCTGCTGAGGTTGTTGAGCTGGAAATCCCCTTCAGAGGTTCTGAGATAAAAGCAATTACAGGACAATCCCTGGAACATTGTATTGGGTCACTGGGAGGAGCAATGCTAGGAAGGAAAGAAGTGGAGCCGGGCCCCGTTCACTTTGACAAGGGGACGGATCGGCCTGAGGGTCACGTATTGGGGGCGATCATCTGCAGTAAATTGGAGCAATTTCTTAGGCTTTAATCTGCCCCTGTGGGGGGTAAACAGGAAGGAACATGGCTGCCCCAGGGGGGTGAAGTCAGCTGTGTCCCAGGTTCTTGGTTGTCAGATGGCCCTTCTCCCTTCTGTGGGGTGGCCCCTATCCTGGGTGTGGGGTGGCCCCTATCCTGGGTGCGGAAGCATCCCCTGTCCCGTGTGGGCCGGGTCACCATGATGTCAATGTGTTTCTTTCCCTTAACCCCTCCC